CATTTCCATTTGTACTTGATACTGATGTTGTACTCTCTCTCCTTGCCACTGTTGGAGACTTTCTTCCTGTTTCTTTTCTCATTCTTCTTGTTTCCTTTCTTGTTCCAGTTGCTACTGGTGCTGGTTTTCTTGCCACTGCTGTAGTCTCTCTTCTTGTTAATTTTCTTTCTCCTCCAACCACTGCTGTAACCTCCCTTTTTGTTTCTTTTCTTTCTCCTCCAACCACTGCTGTAGTCTCTCTTTTTGTTTCTTTTCTTTCTCCTACAACCACTGCTGTAGTCTCTTGTTTCTTTTCTTTTCCTCCAACAACTGCTGCAATCTCTCTTCTTGTTTCTTTTCTTTCTCCTCCAACCACTGCTGTTGTCTCTCTTCTTGTTTATTTTGCTGTTCTTGTATTGCTGCCATCAAATCTGCTAAGTTGTAGTTTGATTTGCCACTTCTCGTTTCCATCTCACCTCTGACACCAATTTGTTACGTATCTGCTTGCTTGTTTGTTTCTGGTAGAAATTCTTTCCGAGGAACTCCAGCGATACAAGTCCTTTCTTGATTAAACCAGTTTATTCTTCCTCGATATAAACTTTTAGTACACAGTAGTTCCACAATCAATACGTTTCTCGTCTCTTTCAACTTAACAACTTTTATAATACACGCTATAAATCACAGCGATTCATAATCTCGATAAAAACACACTTTTCAGCTCACCAGCTCGAAACTCACAGAATAATAAATTACACGGAGCTCAAAGTAACTACTGCTCTCTCTTCATTTATATATCCCCCCTAGATTTCTCTGCTACGCTTATATACTAACAAAGAGAAAATCATCACGCACGCCACCAGGGTCACGTGACTTCCGCGGTCGTAACAATACTACGCACGCAAGTTATTTAAATTTTGCACATGCGCCTTTATTGTAAACTGTACGATCTGACGAAAAAACGTGAGCTTGAAACGTCTTTTAATAAAAAAATATAAAAAAACTTGGCGATTATTCAACCTATTATTTAATGTTGTTATTTTCGTCACCTATGCGGTTTTAATTATTTTTGTCATTTTACAGGGTGAAACACAAAAAAAATCATCATTATGCAATGGAACACTAACACAGTGTGTGTACGTGTTTAGATGTTTTAAACACGTTGGGCCATCACTTTCATTGACACTTCCTTCTGATTATTCTGACGGTGTTTTGTACGAGATTGTGTAAAAGAAGATTTGATTGACAAAATCCATAATTCTTTAGCTTCCAAAAATCTCGCACACTACAGGTGAGCCCATAATATCTAGACATCACCTGAACAACCAATGAAGGACACTGGTGTCAACATACACAACGTATATCGGATGCAATCTTTTGTACAATATCGTGAGTTTTCTCAAAAAGTTCAAACCAGCAAATGTCCACCAAACTTTATTCAAATACTTAAGCTGAGTGCTCATAAAGCAAGGATTACCAAGAATTTTAGCATACTGGTATTTCAGGATTCCCAGTCATCACCAATTTCCCCATGATTTTATTTTCTATAAATCTATTGATCACCATTGAACATAAGACCAACGTCTCACTACCCATTAAATATTCCTTGATAGCTCAGACAGCAAGAAATACAACTTCCTTTCATTAGATTATTCTGAAACAATTAATACTACTCATAATGATTAGAAGGTCATTGTCTCAGCTGATCATAAAAGCAGACAGACTGCTATTCCACTGGCGTTTCCTTATCTGCTTTTCTCTTCATAAACATCCAGGTTAGTATTACCGTTGTTTTCCTTCTCACCAGCTTAAGCTGACGTGATATCATACAACACACCATCAGTCAACTTGCTCATCCATCTCTGATTTCTGGAGTAACTAATTCTCACGACGTTTGACAGTGATGGGCTATTTATGATTATTAATTTGTGTGACCACATAACTCATAATTCACCTCACTAAGTTCTTGACAAACAAGATATGGTTCAGACCAGCCAGAACTGAGATTTTACATGCTGCAGGTGTGTGCCATAATCATACCCAGTCATAACGTTTGAATTTTCTTTACATTACTAATTTGTCATAATGTCTTTTTTGACACATACACACTTTATCCATTTGGTGACACAAATTCACGTGCGTCAACTACCATTAACTGTATCCATTCCACATATTCCCAAGGACATTGCAGTACACCCACTTAAAGTGGAGGACCATACATCCACTGAGAGTTGTAATTCTCGTCCAAATAGAAAACAATGTAAACTGTTGCTCGGGTGCATATGGTTGGTGCTCATCTAAGGTTAACAAGCACCCTGTATAACCTATTCAGCCATACTATCAGAATAAGGAAAATGTGGTGAAGTGCAGTGTTCATCACACTACACAACACTGCTGGCTAATATAAAGTTAATACTTGATCCATGACAATCTTTCAAGATATGAAATCCAGTGATGGAACTAGGTATTTTTGAACCTGGGGCAAGTTTGATGATCTTATCCCCCTTATTTCAACTTACAGAAAGATTACATTTCAAATGGAAGAAGAAATAAATAAATGTTTTTCAAATTTCTTATTGGTTCAATACATAACCACGAGAAAATTTGCCCTATTGTTCTGTATTGAATAAACATTTTTGTAGTTATATATTTGTACCGTGTATTCTCTTTATGCAGAACAGATTCGTTTTGAGCTTGGAGAGAAGCATACTTCTGTAGCTCAGTATCCTCCAGTTAGCAGGTCTTAACTGACTACTCTGAGGTAAATGTAACATTTATTTTTAGACCCAAGACAAAGAAATGTTTTTAGATGAAATATATTTTTCAAGAATACTTATTAACTTATATCCTGGTTTTTCAGCTACCTTAACATTTTCAATTCTTAAAGATACATTTTCAGACCAGATGGCTTGTATTGTTTGAAACAAAATGCAAAACTAAAATATGCTAGTTTTCATGACTTACTTTTATTTGTCTGATTATCAATCTGTTTGAGAATACTCTGGGTCATCTTAGGATAACCATTATAAAACATGAACATTGATTTTATTGGTCTGATGGTAGTCAGAGTACTCTCAGTTGTTGTGAAAAAGCAATTAGCTCTTCTAAATATTTCACTCAAGTATGTGAAATGCTTAATGAACATTTCACAAAGTAGTGGACAAGATATTGTTGACCCTTCAAGTGACCATCCTACTTCCGAGAGTTGGCACTGCCATCTTTGGGGTATATTAAAGGAGCATGTTTATGCTCATAAACCATAGAATCTTGATTGTTTGAAGCAAGTAAGTGTAAGAAAAATATGCTTCGACACTTTTGAATTGTTCCCTGTAAAACAGTGACTCATTCCATTCCACAGCAACATGAACAATATGTTAATGGTGGACTTTTATTAGAAATCTATATCAAGATGTATCTATATTTTACTTTTTTTCATCACATTATGTTACTAAGCCCTTTTTGGATTACTTATGTAGTTACTTTTATTAGAAGTTCTAATTCCAGTTGTACTTGATATATTTTGTGAAATGTGAAGTTACTTTAGAGTTACCCCGAATATAAAAAATATACACTGTTTGAGCTAACCATTCAGATTATTAATGTTATAAATAAGCACAGTATTTATTCATTTAATAATTAGTTTCTTCTCACATTAAAACAAAAAATTCACAAAGAAATAAGAGAACAATAGAAAAAACATAATAGTTTAATTCAGTAATAATTTGTATAAATATGTACAGCAAGATGATGATGAATATAGTGTGTGTGTGTGTGTGTGTGTGTGTGTGTATATATGTGTGTAATACACAGAATGAGAAATTACCAGACAGTACAATACTATTGTAATTTATTTGTGCGAATTTGTTCAAGTTGTTTTCGGTACTGCTCTGCTTCCTGTTCTTTTTGTTGAAGCTGCACTCGATAGTTTTCTGCTTCTTTGCGAGCTTCTTCGAGTTCTTTCTCTAGCTGTTTCCATCGAAGATCAGAATCAGGATGATTCTGAAAGAAAAGAACAAGTAACTAAATATTTTTTGAAGATTTTGAAACAACAGAAAAGTAAATTAAAGCCACTAACTATCAAAATAACAACAACAAACAGATGAAAGTAGTAGCAAAACACATTAATAAAGGAAAAAAGTTTAACAATCATTAATGGATGTCATAACTGACTTTTAATTTTTACAAACATACAGCACAAAAAAATGTATTATTTATCAAGCCTATAATACTTAAATTGTAACATATTTCTCATCAGGCAAAATCTAAAGCAGAAAGATACAGTGCTTTACTTTTTAGACATACTGATAAGAAAAAAAAATCATAAAAAATCAGATGGCTGGTATAACTGCCTACATAGGGATGGCTCCATTTGTTCAATGAATGGTATTTTAAATATCTTTTCAATATGTCATAATAATTTTACAATACTATACAATGTTTCCTTTTATAACAATAACTATGTAATGACTGAGTCACAAGTTCTTGGAATGTCTGTAAATGTCTGTTTGAATTTCTTGTTCTTCTGCTTCTTTTACATTATGTAACTCAAAAACCAGAAGAATGGTGTCAGTCAATTTCACTGAGATGTCATAGTTTGAAATGGAGTATCCACTTTTATAAGTATTATTAATAATTAGTAGTAATGAAAAAAAAAATCATAATTTAGTGTAAATGATGACATTACCCCTTGAAGTTAGCCTTTTTAAAGCTTAAATACAAGGTGAAACAGGAATTATCAGCCAATAATAGATAAACAATAAATATTACAGTTGGAATCTCACTGTATTTAGAACTTTGTTATAAATACAAACCTTCCTATGTCTATTGAAACACTACAATAAAAAAACAATTAAAGAAAAACTTTCCAAAAAAAGGAAGTAAATGTAGGGATGGCTAATATCAATCCTTCAAAAAAAAATGCAAACAAGATGGCGGGGATGGCACAAGCAAGAATTAACATATAACAACATATATAACTATTCAATCACACTTGAGTTTAATTTATCCCAAATTTGTCTGTTAACATTCTACTACACTGTGTGCTTGTGCTATTATGTAGGGATGATGCAAATGCAATCCCCTATTATCTTGTTTGCATTCTTTTTGAAGGATTGATATTAGCCATCCCTACATTTACTTCCTTTTTGAAAAGTATTTTCTTTGCGTGTGTGCGTTTATATATATATATATACAGTTAATTTTATAACCCATCAGAAAAACAGTATCAGAGGGCAGGTCTTTACTGTTTTTTAAACCTTTATATAATGCAAAGTTTTTAAAGCAATTTTAGACATTTTGTTCAGTACAAAGTAAGCAGTATAACTATGCATTTGTATCTTATATCTTTAATGTCCTAATTATCTACCTTTTCACTTTTACCAAACTTCAAGTTAACCTGTCTCATAAGGCTACCTCTGAATTACGTATAAATTACAAACACCTTGCAATGCAGCACCTTAGGCCAGTCAAATGAAATCCTTACAGCTCTCCTTTGTGTCCATCCTATTTTTTGAATTCTTTTCTTCATCTTTCTCATTATAAGTTTCAAAAACAGAACCATTAACAGAAAAATAATGGGTCCAAAATGATTTTCACTAATCTGAGGTTGTGATAGACAGTGACTAACTTCTGGACCTTGATCATCATCATGCTGTTTTTTTTTGTATTGATGTAAATAGTTCACCAAATGAACTGGTGGTGTGAGGAAGAGATAAAAAATAGGTCAGCCATATAGGGTACACCAGTGTTTCCGCAATTGAAAGATATCTTTAAATTACACAGTATTTTACAAAATAATGAAGTATTTCTTGCTTTCAAGTTAGCCAACAGCCTACGAACACTCTGCTAATTATAATGACCTATAAATTGCCCATGGCAACATTGGTAATGCAGCTCAACTAGGTACAAAGCATGCAGCGTAAACTGTATCTTCTTCTGTTTTTTCAATTGATTGTGCCACAAAATAGGGTAAGTGGAAAAATTCTAAGTTTCAAACTCAGAACACAACTTTATCAAGAACATCTATGAAACTCTGTACGGCAGCAACCAGAAACTTCTCTTTCTATAGTAACTGATTGGCTATCTTTCTTGCAGACTTGAAAGTCTATGAGACATTTTATTGACAAAAATTTTGGTGGAATGAAATGCTGTACTGGAATAGTTAGCACATTAAAACAGCTGCTTATACTTGTGTTTTTAAAGAATTCAACAATTCCCCTATCCTTGTAGAGACAAAATATTGTTAATGTAATTTTCTATGTTACCTATGATTAATTGCAGCATTCTTACTGAATGCATTATATTTTTGATGATCCTAACTTAGTAATAAATTTAAAAACTTTATACTGATGTAACATACAGTGAGTTAGTATTAATAACCAATGGTGAATGAATGAAAGAATAGAAGATGAGTGGTAAAGTGGATAACATGAAATTGATTACTCCATTGTCTCCCAGACATTAGGGGCTTCTTTGATCAGAATAATGGATATTTGTATTCTCAAATTAAGGTCTTCCGCTACATGATTATGGCTAGGAAGTTTGTCAATTGAAGTCCTGTACATAGGATTTTAAAAAATGTGGAAAGAGGTGTTGCTTGTTATATAGCATGAAAAAAATGTGATTAAACTTTCTCTTCTGATCATACAACATTTTATCCTTGAACCAAATAATGCCTACTTAATGGAAGCTTTGACACTTAGAAACTAGCTTGGAATGGGAAATGAAGAAACATTTTCATCTTCTTCACAACATTCTATAAACAAACATTTGTCTATTCTGCAGTGACTTAATTGTTGTTGTAGCAGAAGGAGTCTAAGCATTGCAGTACAAATTCTATTGTCTTTGATCTGATGTTTCTGTTGAATTTTCTCCCTCACATTCACAGCACATATAAAGAGTTTAATAAATGATTTCCCACACTGTCAACATATATCATGTATACAAGATAAAGCACTGCCCTAAGCTTTAACTGTGATATTATCCAGATAGGAAATAAAAACTTTCAAACAAATGTTTTTGGTTTCCCAACAAAAAGCATAGTTTTGTTTTGTAAGGTAAAAAAACTGTTAGAATAAAAACTTTATTTCAATGTTTAAAAGTTCATACCGGATACTCAACATCACTAAACCTTGTACATCTTAATGCAATGTCCCTTACTCACTACTAATAGCCTAAAATATTTTACATTACTAGTGGTGAGTAAAGGACTTTACATCAAAACCTACAAAGTGTTTCCATTCCACCACTATAAGAGGCCTGTTGTATTTCTAGGGTTTGCTCTCTCAAGCAGTACTGAGGAGTTATGATTTAGCAAAACTAAAATCAACAGGAGAGGAAGTAGCTAATCAAAGAGTAGGTCAGGCCTCTTACAAAATTCACAGGTTTTTTTTTTACTGAAATTACATGTTTTGGTGAAGAGACAAATAAATCACTAAAACTAGTTACTTTCACAGGTTTTTTAATATCACTCTTCAATAAAAGAATTACTTGTTACTTTCACAGGTTTTTTAATATCACCCTTCAATAAAAGAATTACTGGTTACTTTCACAGGTTTTTTAATATTGCCCTTCAATAAAAGAATTACTTGTTACTTTCACAGGTTTTTTAATATTGCCCTTCAATAAAAGAATTACTTGTTACTTTCACAGGTTTTTTAATATTGCCCTTCAATAAAAGAACTACTTCTGTTTCTTTTAATCATAACAAAGTTAAACAAACCACCATTCTGAAACTTTTAACTAATTACTTCACTGCAGTACAGTTCTGGATTAATATTGCTGTTTTAGCTGATAAACACACAGTTTCAGACATATCCAACCAATCAAATTAATATTCATACACATCAATCAGCACAAGCCTAAATATGGTACACAGTTATCTGATTACCATGACAACTAGGTAGAAAGACCTAATATGTGTAAGAGTGGTGAAAGAGACAAGATGCAATGTTGAAGTCAGATTAAAAGTAAGACACTACTGACTGAAGAAGAACAAAAGATTAGAGACTGATTGTCAAAGCAGTGAAGTATTCCATCGTTATATGATAATAAACAAATAAGCTGTCTCAAATAAAAATAAGTAAAACTATTCAATCAAGGATATGAGTTAAATAAATTTTCAAATTAACAGAAAATAATGATTAGCTACATAAGATTAGCAGAAGGTTAAAGAACAAAACACACACAAACAAGACTCCTCTAGCAAGTCTTGTCTCTCTCGAATATGAATCCACTTACATCAAACACTGAAAATAATCTGTCTAAAATTGTCAAAATTGTATTCACAAAGCACCCTCTCTCTGTTGCTGACATAAAAAATTTTGAAGTCTCTCTGTTCCATAAGACAGTCATAAAGCAGTATTCTATACAGAGTAAAGTAAAATACAAATTATCCCATGAAAAAGATGTTTTTGGCCAGAGCAGTCACAGAAAGTCATGCTTCAGAGTGAATAATGCATGAACTCAGTGGAATTTAGCATGCCACAAACAAAACTTACAAAAATTTATAGATTTTGCAAAAATGAAATATACACACTATAAAAGAGTAATGTAGTATTTAGTACTTGCATACTGAAAGTGTTTATCACTGACTATAAAAGGCTTATTTCCTTTGTCACTCTGTCATGAATGCTTTCACACTCCTTTTTTGGTAATGCTCAAATATATATATATATATATCATCGCTAAGTAACAAAACTATTACCCGATTGCTCTTAAGCCAACTATGGTGTTTATGTTGAATGCTCAATATTCATATTGATTTGTTACAAAGGTTTTTTTTTATGCTTTATTTTTTGAAAACTTTGATGATACAAGAGCAAAATATTTTAATTCAGAAGTTTTATGACACTAAGTTGTGGCCAAAAGCAAAATAAAATTTACCAAGTAGTGCTTCAGCTAAGTCATTTTTGACAGGTTTTTATGCTAATCCTAATTGGTAATGTTCTGGGTCTCAACAGATATATTCTTGCATATGGTAAAAAAACTAAACACAAGGTATGAGTAATTTTTTAAGGTTAATGTTTATAATAATCATTGACATAGCATACTGGCAACATACAGAAATCAGAGCTATATCCAATCTATTAGCCAGAGTTAGGTTATAGCTACTAGACTATTGGTTCATGCCTAAATGATCATATAAAGTAATCATTTTTGATAAATGTTTATGTTTTCTCACATATCTGTGGCATGCAGACAAAGAAGTCAAATTACTTTTCCTCTAGCTACACATTGTTCTGTGTCATTCCCCTAAAATAACATGTGGTTTGTCTGGGGGAAATAGCTGTAAAGTTGTACCTTGTGCATGAAAGTAGACAACAGTTTTTCCATTGGTAGGTCAGGTGTTATCTTGAGGATACAACACAACATCCTTTATTTTTTAATGGAAATGACCAGTCATGTGAGTGGTGCAAGATGTATGAAAGCATGACATTACTGTAATGTGTCTGTATTCTGCTAAAGAGGTGGAGCTCCTTCATTACTGTCAGAATAAAAGGGGAGTTCAATTATTTAATAAATATCATGTTTAATTACCTAACACTGGAAAATGGATCTGGATTTTTTGGTTTTCCACTCCTTCAAAGCTCTGTTGAAATGAAAGTCTTCATGTGTTTGTTCCTGTAGTTTAATTAACATGATTCTGTTGACAGCCTGAGAAGTCAGTCTATAAATATACGTACATTAGCCAGCTTAGCAAGTTTCATCATGTTTGGGAACTATTCTTTGTGACAGGTGTGCACTATTTGCTACAGTTTATGGAGCAGAGGTGTGCATTGGATACCTATCCTCCTATATTACATTTTTGTACAAATTAAACTCAGCCATGCAAGCACTTGTCACCACTCCAAATTTTTTGTCAATACCATAGTGGCTGATAAATGTAGTGAGACCATCAACACCACAGTCATTTTGTTCATCTTTGCTGAGATATGACAGATTCCTGAAAACCAAGAAAATGAAAACTAGTAGCAACTGAACAGTTATCAGGTGGGAACCTTCTCTTCATTTCAGATATTAAATTCTCAATATATAATTTTCTCAATTCATCAAATTCCACACTTGTTTCCTTAATACCCTAGTCAACTGTGTGTAGTACTACACCATGCAGTGCTAGAACTGTATTCCCTTTCTTACCAATTTCTGATGTAAACTGATTGTCCTAGTCACCTTTATGGCATAAAGTACAAAGCATGCCCCCTTTTAGCGATTTGTATTGCAATAACCACGTGCTGAAATTTGGAATTAAACTTAGCATTCTTTTTTGTTGGAAGTTCTGTCATGCTTGTATTCAGGGTAGAATCAGTATTCATGTTTTGATAACATGGTTATTCTTTTTCCTCCATCTCCCAGCTTTCAAATGTTCCACAAGTAAACATTTTGAAGAAGTCAGTAATATATTTCACCATTGTTATTGTGTACATTTGAAAGGAGTCAATCAATACAAGCACCTCTCAAGGAAAGAATTAACCACATGATCGTGTCAGCAATTTTTAAAACAATAAAAATAAATGAGTACATTCCTGATTGAAGTTATACAATGGCTATTTTTAGCACAAGGGAATTCCACCTTGTAGAGTCACTTACTTTAATTCATTTTTAAGCAGTTCATCTAATTACTATTTCTAAATAAAATCTGATTAATGAAACTTTTAAAATCACTTACTTGCATTTAAAAATTTGCAAAAGGTTATGAAAAATGCACAAGTAAGATTTTTTTAAGGTGGGAGTTATTTTGCATCAAACAATTTTAACTACGGAACATAGCACTAAAACAAGGAGGATTCACAAGATTCCGTAGTTTGGCAGCATCTCTAAACATGAAGTTTTAACAGCATGGTAGAAGTTTTCATCCAGTATACTTTGGAAAAAACTTCACAGATAACAAGGATATTAAGGAAACAAGGGTGGAATGTGATGAACTGAGAAAAGTCATGGCTCAAAATTTGAAATCTAAACTAAAGAAAAGGTTCCCATCTGAAAACTACACAGTTTCTAATAGTTTCCACATTCTTAATTTTCAAGAGTCTGTCCAGAAAAAATAATTCTCTTTGGTCTACATGCAGTGTTTGTGTTTTAATTTTTTCAGCTTGACCTCGTAACAATTTTGTGCTTGTTATAGTTTTCATGCTATACCTTTTAGATTAGTAAGCAAATGCTAATGAAATTTAGCAGGCTATCAGTAAACATTACAATGCTTTCATATGCAAAACATCAATTTTTTTTATTAAGTCTTAAGGATGTAAAGCAATGTTTTTCTCATGTCTTTTTTCTTTTCGCATGTTGCCTGTCTATAATGCAAAGTAATATTCATTTTAATACTAAAAATACTTTTATGCATCAGAAAATTTTGAAATTTCACATGCGAAATCTTTATAATGTCCAGATAGTTATAAATAGTAATAAAATATTTCTTAAGAAAAAACTTTATATTTTATCTGTTATTTTCAGTAATTAATCTATGTACGGGTTTGGTAAATTTGACTGATCTCGCAACCATCATAAAAATTAGGAAATAAACATAAATTATGCCTCTTTCAATGTTGAATGAACACAATATTATAACATGAAAACATAAATGTTTAGACTAAATAGCTTAAATCTCACAACATTATACATTTATATCTATTTATTATACTGACCATTCAGACATGCCTGGCTAACAATACAGAAGTTACAATGATGTGGCTCACATGCACTCATGTTACCGATCAAATAATATAAAGCTGACCTTTGATCTGTACAAAGTAACTTGTCTTGGCTGTGTTTTAGTAGACTAGTATTTTATAAAACAGTCACATTTCAGTTATAAAACATTATATATGTATACAGATTATTGCTATTTTGAAATAAGTTTTTAAACTTATTTTTCTTAAAACACAGAACAGTAAATTAAGAAGTAAAGCAAACAATTATCTCTTCTAGTTACGACCTTGGTACTCGGTTGCTGCTTGATATAGCAGTTTTTTAAAGGTGCCTTATAAAATTTGCATGTTCAGAATATGAAACAAAATATTTTTTTAAAAGTTTTATATATATACATTTGAATAACTAAAAATTCATAAATTACTACATTAATACCATAGAATTCCACTGTAATTTATAAAGCTTAGTAACTAAGATGTATTTAAGTCTAAAAATATAAAATTTCAAGCAGACTAAAGACGCACCCTACCTCGTTGAAATATTGGTTCAAAAGAAATAATTGGCACCAAGTCCATTAAAATGCTGAGAAAGTCACTAGGGTGACATTCTGAGCTTCCGATTGGTTATTCATATCATATATAGAAATAAGTGTATATAAGGGAGCATTTCCAAAAATGGAAAGAGGTGGATGAGGTGCTACTGTGTTTGATTTATTACATGAGCAATATCTTAGAAAACTGAAAAGATAAGAGGCTCTTATTTTATATTCTAGCTTGTCAATATCAGTAATTTGAGTTTCTAATTCGTTTGAAAATATAGACTTGGTATTTTGACTTCACAAACATCTAATTTGAACCAGTGCTGCATTAAACATATCACGTAAAACACAAAAATCAATGTTTATCTGTTTTTTTTTTATATTTGCTTTTAAATGAAGAAACTGAGTAATATATAGTACTAAAATTTGAATTATAATCTATCATTTGATACTGAAGTTAAAATTTTAGATGCGAGTCAACAGAAGAGATGACATGGCCTTTCACCCATGGCTTGCCTCGAAAGGGTTAATAAAGGTTGTTTAATGTTGTTCTGTACACTTGTATCCAGTACCTTTATTTTTCACAAATTCAGCTAGACTCAGAGAATTTAGGATCACTCTGTAATAAATATCTTGCTGAATCTCCCCTTATTCTTCAGACCTATCTTGTTACACTAAGAAAAAATCAGTTTTACCTAAAAACACTAAATATTTGATTCAGTATTTGTGAAGAGAATTCTTAGAAATATTTAAAATTGGTCAAATAATGAGTTGTCCATTGACTAAATTCATTGAGACAAAATTCAAATTGCAATCTTGAAGTGTGCTAAACAAGCAAACTTTGAAAAAATTGAATCAGTTCAATAAAGTCTACTACATTACAAAATACAATTATATTTTTCTAAATCACTGAATAAAATTCATAGAAATTCTATAATGTTTGTATAAATTTGTTTAGAGCAACAGTTATCTAAAATTTCTTTGTTCTTTACTTGTACATAATATGTTACTTACCAATATGGGCTTGACTGTTGCTTTGGGTAGTGTCACTTTGGAAACTTTTTGACCTTCCATTGTTTTCAAAGAAGTAGCTTTACCTTAATTGAATGAAGATAAAATACACTAAGAAACACAACAAAAGATGACACTTAAAAACCCACATTAACTTTAAAGCTTGAATTATAGTTACTAAAACCTTGCTTGGATGATTTATGTACTGGATTTTTATCTCTTTTCAATTTAATTTTAAGTGGGATATATAATGTTTCTTTTTTTATAATTAAAAAACAAACAAATGTTAACATTCTCCTTACCTTGAAATGTATTTCCAATACACACTTCTACACACAGTTTAATTATCTTCCTCAGCTCTTTTGCTTGCTCTGCCAAAAAGACTTGCATGCTACTAGCCCTTTGAAAAACCCCCACCTAATTTCATGTGAACTTGCACCACTGCATGATGATGTCATCATGCAGCAAAAGCTCTCCACCAATAGGAGGGCATCACATCTCCACGTACACTAACTCTCCCAAAGCATTTGCAATTATGAATCTTCATTCTTTCATGAGAAAAGTATGAAATGTGCACTGAAAGTGGGGAGGATGGGTGGGAATGTGGGGTAAGGTGAGTATCTATCAGAAATACGTTTGCAGGTAAGGAAAATGTTAACTTCCGAAACAAATACTCACCAATGTCCAAAGTTTAGCTAGAATCCAACGTTGAGATGGTGGAGGTACTGGTGAAAGATTACCTAAATGAACCCTCTTCAGAAGGTGTCTGAAGGAAGGCCATGGGGTGTGCCACCTCATGACAGGGACACACCCATGGGAGACTGCATCTCGTATCCTCCAGGGTATGCTCTTTGCCTGAAGATGAAAAAAAGAGAGGCAAATAAGCCACATTTGTGTCACTTGGGTGGACAGAATCTGTACCTTGCTGTCCGAGTACTTGCACACAAGATGTCAGACAGACAATATATGCAGTGAGATTGGGGCTCATTCAAACCATACATTGTGTGCTCATCTCTTCTACCATTAGACTGGACAGATATAGGAGAAGGGCACTTGTGATAAGTATCCATGCTCACCTTCACTACCGTCAGTCTCTACAGGTCCCAAACCAGCTGCAGGAGGAGAGCACTGTATGAATCTGTTTCAGCATGGATAGTTACATACAACACTACTGAACCGTCAATCTCTACGGGCCCCTTCCAGCTGTGGGAGTAGGGTATGTGAGAGATACATTACAGATATGTATGGTGTGCTCACTTCAACTTTACTGTCAGTCATTATAAGCCCCTTGCCAGATGCGGGAATAGGGTACATTTGAGATTTAGTATTGACCGATAACAGTGTGTTCACCTTGACACTATTGAACAGACACTGGTTAAAAGAGGAGAACTTGTGAGATATAGGTATATTGAATGGACTGGTATAGGGAGTTGTATCATCAGTCCATGTGTAGTTTGCAATAGTGACTTATCAGAGATTTTTATGTGGGGTGACCCGCACTACACTCTCGGTGTCACCACAGCCCCACTTCTCACCATAATGGGACTCCTTATTCTAGACCCAGTGGTTAGATCCCAATCAATGAGGATTCCCCTTAGTACACCACTCCAGGAGCTAGGAACTGGTAAGTGGCAAGAGCCTCCCAAATTTCACTATATGAGGCGGGGGAGAATTTGTATAGGGAAAATGCAGAGAATATGCTCAGATCTCAATCGGTTGTTTAGTCCAGAAAGGTTTTTTACCAGAGACAGTTCAATGGGTGATCATGAAAGCCAGCAAGTACAAGCCAGAGAAGTTGGCAGAAACAATGCTCAGGTGCTGGCTTTTTCCATGATAGTCCATAAAATAGGTATGGTCTGGATCAGATAAGAAATGTGATATAGATCGAAATATATATATATCATGAGGAAACCTCAAGTGCTCTTGCAGAACACCCCATCTCATAGTGGGCACATGTACAGCCAATACAGATGGTATGAACTCTTTCCACTATCCTGTCTTGATGAAGATTTTGAGCAAGTATATCCTGGGAGGCAACACTAGCCACCTAATAGGATCCTATCGATTGAGAGAAGGGTCATGAAAGGGAAATGGTGCACATTCTACTCAAAGACATGAGGAAATGGAAGAAATACGATCCATAGAAGCAGAAAATTGTCAGGAAATAAAATAGCCAGAAGATACAGAGGTGGAGATGAATGTGTGAAGAGAGTTTACAAGCCAATCTGGAAAAGTCCATCCAATGGCCAGTGAAGAAGAGGTGGATGAGGATGAAAAGGGCGATGAATAGAATGCAAGCATCAATATCCTGAGATGAAAATGTCACCAGGTTGGTCAATGGACCCATCTTGGGAAAGGAAGAAGGAATGAAGTTCATGGAAAACAGGAGTTCCGGGAAAGAGACGGAAGTTGAGCTAGGTCTGGATGGCCCAACAGTACAGATATGGAAGAGATGTACAGTTTGCACCAGAGCAGTCCAAGTCCAAGGAAGAAAGAATTGGTCCAGGGAAAGGAAAGAAATGCAATAGAAGAGGGTGTGAAAAGCATTAAGAAGATAGACATCAGAACAATGGTAAATGTAGGAAATAAGAAAGAAGGAACAATTCAAAAGAAAAAAAAGACATTAAAAAAAAGGCAGGAAAGCAACAGCTCGAATAGGGCATGTATGTAATTGAGCAAAAACCCTAACAAGATCTCAGTCACAAGGAAGCAGGGCAAGGAGGACAGAGAAGAGCAAAGGAGCAGTACAGAAAAATGAGTATGAGGTTCTGGGAAAGTACCTTGGCCACCCGATAACTAAGAAAGGTTGAGACCTACAATCCTTTGATGAACAGGCTGGTAAGAATGGTAGAAAGGTGGTGCACAGAATTACCACCAGAAGGAAATGGGAGGTGGAAGAACCATTGATAAAAGACATACCAACAATTGCAACAGACAAATAAAGTGGAAGGACGAGAAGAATGTTATAAGCATAATGCCACAGAAATGGTGCAATGGGTGAGTGACTGAGCAAATTTCATGCATGAGAGTAGAGGGAGGTTAATCACCATTGAAGAAGTGAGAGAGTGTGAACCAAAAAAGAGAAGGGATAATAGTGAGGGGAAGGGAAAGTCAAATAATAATTATATCAAGGTCAAGGCAGTCAGAGAGCTGCCAACAAGAGAGCCCAAGAAGGATAGTAGTGTGTAAATCTGGGACCCAGAAGGATGAGACGAATAAGGGAGTAGGTATAAAGAAATAGGTAAAACCAGGTCTGGATCAGAAAAACGAAAGTCAGACCTGAAGGAAGAGCAAGAGAGGACTGTAAGCGAGAAAGTCTGGAGTAAAGATGGGTGGCAAAGTGCCCAACCAAAAGTAAACCCCACAGAAGATCTGGGGGGTGCAGAGGCTACTCTGTTGACAGAATAAGGACTGGCTGAGAGAGGTGACTCACCAACAAGAAGTAAATTCCCATAAAGATTGTAAATAAGCATAGAAGTGTATAGTTAGTGCCTAAAAATAAAAAAAATGTCCTAATAGAAGCCACAAATGCAGTTGGAGCAAGGAAAGGCTGTGGAAAAGATTAAATGGAATGTGACCTAGTAAACCACCAGTAGAAGCAGGAATGGGAATATGCCCGATAAATAGAGAGAAAGTTGAACATACTGATGGGTAGTGGACATTAGCTCAATGTACAAATGTTTGGAAATCTGCCTCCACAAAAAATGTATCTCAATCCATGAGAGAAGCATTGAAGGGGGAGATCTGGTTTGAGAGGCGGTAAGGGAATGTAGAAAGTAGGAAAGACATGGTTTAGTCACCCTGACAATTCATAGATGAGAGGCTCACAAAAGTGGAGAAAGGACCCCAAGAAGGACAACTCTTGGTCCATAACGTCCACTGTAGGAGAAACATGAGAGCATACCTCAAATGAAGGAGGGGTTCTAGAGAAGCCACAGTCCCCAAAAAGAGAAGGAAATGAACATATCAGAATGAAATCCAATAAAATATGGAATGGATAAGGTCATTTAACAAACAGTAGAGCAATACAAAATCAAAGTAGGTGAAGGATGTAGTCTAACAGATCATTCCCAATTAAGGAAAAAGAAATTCAGCTGACAAGACAGAAGTAGAAGATGCATGAAGCATGTGGAAATCCATAACACACTGAGCAATGGTTGCTATGATCATGACAGTTAATGAGCCCCCAAAAGCCACAGCAGAAATAAGGTTAGAGTGAGAACAATGTCCAACACTCAAGACCAGGTATAAAGTACCATCATTCTAGAAGTCATGATAAAATATTAAAGCTTTTGAAACAAAAGCTAAAGAAAATGAAAATCAAAGTTTCCTTATTAAATTGAACACAGATGAGAAATTTAAACATGTCTGGACAATACAGTGACCAGAGAAAATTGAAAATTTGCAAGTGCATAGGGGGAGTTAGTGTGCATGGGGATGTGTCACATTCCTATTGGTGGTGGGTTTTTGATGCACAAATTCACATAAAATTAGGTGGGAGTTTATACAAGGCAAATGGCATGTTCAGTCTCTTTGGTAAAACTTGCTGAAGAGCTGAGATAGATGATTAAACTGTATGTGGACTTGAGTATTCGTTTCACAACAATAGTTTATAGTTCCTATATAGAGTATTACTTAAATCATTTAACAATATTAATATATTTAATTTAATATAACTTAAAACAAGTTATTAATGTCTTTAGCTAAGTTGGTCAACTGAAGATTATTTCTACTGGCTGGATATGAAGATTATGGCAATTTTTCTCCAACTAATGTTTTCTGAAAAGGTACATTCAAATTAATCTAATAGTTTTAAACATTTCACAAAATATGTAAAATTATATAATCATCTGTATACTATAATACATTCTTGAAATACAGGTTTTTCCAAAATTCATTGTGTCTCACTACAAATTACACAGTGTTTTCCATTACTTCTAAAACTTTTTTATGTGTTACTAGTAGAATGCTAGCTACTGCATCAACAGAATTAGTATTATATACTTCTCAAGTAACTGTATTCTGGTTTACTGATGTTTATTGTATCAATTCATATGAATAATTGTTTAATAACCAATTGAATGAAAAATAAATCTATGTGTGTGAGTTATTTACTATTTAATACCAAGAAATCAAGATTTGGTATACTAAAAATTATAGCACCATTTCTATGAATAATATTACTATGGAAGAAATCAAAATATTGTAAAATAAATGTTGAAGTTCCTTAAATTATATGGAAAGGGGAGAATTTGCATCACTAAATCCCATATTATATTAATAGCCACGATTTATTTGTTTGTTGAATATTGTGCGAAACCATTTGAGGGCCATCTGTTCTAGTTTCCCTAATTTTTAAGTGCCAGACTAGAGGGAAGGCAGCTAGTAAACACTACCCACCTTTAAATTTTAAGCTACTTTTAACCAAGAAATAGTGAGATTCACAATTCCATTATAACACTCCCATACCTGAAAAGGTGATAATGTCTGGTGATGGGTTTTGACCTAACAATCTGCAGATTAGTAGTTTGGTCACATCAAGCCATACCAGGCCTATTAATTATGATGTCACAAAGATTAGAATTGTTGATTGTATTTTGGTACTACTTTATTAATCTCATGTTTCAAATACATTATTTGAGTGGGACAGAAATTACCAAAACGTATCTATTTAATCGCATTCTGGAAAAGTAAGACATTTGGAACAGTTGCATGTTCCAAATACCAAATGTAAACCAAATTAATCAAATATAAATTTAGGGTAACAAACAAAAGTATGTAAATGCTTCTGGTGTATATTTCCATTTCATTATTGATTTAATGTGTACCTTCTAACCCTTTCCTAATCAGTAGGCCTTCAAGTCACTTCCAGTCCACACCCACAAATAAACTTTTGAAAGTTAATTATAATTCAAAAAATATTACATTTATACTATGTTCTCCTATACTGAAAATATATTTCCGATAGATATCTCTACTCATAAAATAGCTTTCCTCGATTTGTAAGGCTCTCAGTAAGGGCAAATCTTTGCTCGCCACAAGCTTTTTTTGCTCCTACCTACTTCCATGTGGTATGGCTGCATTGTAGCATGCACATAAGCATACAACAACCCTCCACCAACAGGAGTGCAACACAACCTCCTAGCACAGCTGACTCCCTCTATGCAGTAGAACCCAATCTCCACTTCAAGATTAGGCACCAGAAGTGGGAAGTGTGATAGTAGGTATGTATGTATGTATGTATGTATCTATCTGTCAGGAATATATTTTCAGTGTATTAGGTCGTCAAGAAATTAATGCCGCATTTGGGAACACTTTCATTAACCACCCACCAAAAAACCTACATCATGTATAACAGTTAAACGAACCACCTATATAATGTGTAAAGTTCAGTATACTCTAATCCCTTATAGTGATGGCACACGACGAGACACACACTCAGCATGTAATGATGTTTGAATACAAGAAGGGAAACAATGCCTCTGTAGCGACAAAGAATACCAAAAAAGTTTACGGAAATGTTTTGAATGTTCGTAAGTGTCAACGATGGTTAAGCAAATTTCATTAAGATGACTTTAGCCTTAAAAACTGTGATGGCAGGGGCAGACATGTTGGAATTGATATTGATGCTCTGAAGACGCTTGTTGAGTATAACCCAAGGCAACACACTCGTGAAATGGCCCTGAAATTGTATGTCTCTCACAAAACAATACGTAAACATCTAAGGAATATGGGAAAACTCCTTAAAGAAGGTGTTTGGGTGCCTCACGAACTCTCTGATGATCATCGTTTCCGACGTGTGAACGTTGCTTTGTCTCTTCTGATGCGTGAACCATTTTTGGATAGAATTGTTACCGGTAATGAAAAATGGATTCTCTATGCAAATATTAAATGCCAAAAACATTGGCGCAGTCCTAGACAAAAATCACTTCCAACCCCAAAACCTGGACTCCATCTGCAGAAGTGATGCTCTGCATTTGGTGGGACATCAAAGGAGTAATTCATTTCAAACTCCTCAATCCACAGCAATGCAGAGATCTATAGTCAGCAATTGGAATGTTTAAATCAAGTCCTTCATCAGAAACACCCTTCACTCGTCAATTGGAAAGGTGTTCTTCTTCTTGACGACAATGCACATCCATATGTGGCACGTTTGACACAACACAAGATTATGGATTTGGGTTTCTCCCCCACCTACCATATTCTCCAGATATGACACCATCAGATTACCATCTTTTTCCTTCGCTGCAACACCATTTTATTGGAAAAACGTATGCAAATGTGGAAGGTGTTAAAGAGAACATTGACATGTATTTTGCTTCAAAGCCCAATGATTTCTTTAATCAGGGCATTAACAACCTGATTGTAAGATGGAAAAGCATCATCAATAAGAATGGAGACTAGTTCATTTAATAAATGTTTTGATATATAAGTTGTTTGGGTTTTTTCATCTAAAAAAGTGACATTAATTTCTTGACGGCCTAATAATAAAATATTAACTTTTGATACAATAACTTACTTCCTCTCACAAAACAGCTAGAATCCAATATTGAAATGGTGGAGGGTCTGGTGCAAAATTTACTTAGATGAGCACCCTTCAGAAAGTGTCCAAAGTATGCTCAAGGAGTGTAACATCTCTTGGTAAAGGAACACACCCAGATGAGGCCACATCACATTTAAACCAGGTATACTCTTTGTCTTTAATGAAAGAATGTGTTGCAAAATGGCCAGAAAAAAGGCACATTAGAAGGAAAAAAAAATGTCTTTGATGTAGAGTGGCTAGAGTACGTTGGACAATAAGAAAGACTTAAGTTGACTGGTCTGGTTTCAACCAACACCAGTGACCTTGGAATCAACATCCAGGCTGTGGTAGGAAGAACGATTTCAAGTCAGAGAGATGAACTACATATTGGAATGTGGCAGAAAAATCCAGTCCACACCATACGGCATCTAGAATCATACATCAGATCCCTGGTAACAGGATAGTCATCCCACCTACACTTGCAGAACACAACCACCCTTCTTTCAATTGAGTGGAATTAAGCACACTTAGGAGGAACCCTACAAAGTCCACCACCCCAGTGGTTAGGGGCTGATAAGTGGTAATGAATCCTTTACTCCACAAGAAAAAGGGGGTTACAAATGCTTTGATAAGTCCAGAGGAACACAGCAATGGAAAAAGTGCAATGGGTGACCATGAAACCTTATTTTCAAAAGCAGACCATACCTGATTTATACAATCACTGGAATAGCAGGGATGGGCAGCAATACCCTTTAGCTTTACTCATGTTAGTCCATGAATGGACAGTCCAGGACGAACATATTTATTAAACTGAAGCAAGACACCACGACGATAAACCTGCAAGTGGTCTTGCAGAACACTTCATCTCAACAGTGAGCATTAGTAACGTTAATGGTCATACAGCAAAGATTTAGGAATAAGTATACCTGGACAAGCATCACTTGTCACAGAGTGGAACAACCAAAAGAAGTGCGAGGAAGCTCCTGTAAGAGGAAAATATAAGGAAAAGACATATCCACTCATAGATGAACCAATAAGTGAGAGATGGTGACAGGAGGTATGCATTATCAGGACAAGAAAGAACTGCCAGATAATGGAGATAATGTGACACAAGAGTAGTAGGAGTGGTCAACATGCCAGTTTGGACAACCTCTTCAGAAGGAAGATGAAGACGAGCAGCCAAAGACATTGTGAGGGTTGAATCTGATGTGAGGATACAGAGAAAGGCAATGGGAGTCAGGAGACAAGAAGGAATAGGCTAATGTACACAAAGAGAAACACAGCCAGTCAGAATAATAGGGTTCCAATGTATAAACAATCTGCAATAGGAACAACAGAAGGGAGCTGTGCAAGCCACATAACACCCCAGAGCCCTGACTGGACACAGAAGACAGTCAGGATCAGAATGGTAATACAGATGAGAAATCGAAGGAAGAGTAATAGGAGTGAAGGCAACATTACCTTCACATGTAGCAGAGGTGTTAGAGAGGAAGGAATGAATAGGATAAAGGAGAACATAAGTTATGTGGTAAAGGATGCGAGAGGCATTTAGGGCAAACACATTTGACTGTTGAGATTCACAGGCCAACATGAGGAGGAAAAAAGGTTTTCAAGGATAGGTGATATAGGAAACAGACAGCCAAAGGTTCAACAAATAGGGAGAGGAAGGGCAAGAAGGACAACATTAAGATCCCAATCCAGTAAGGGTATGGGTTGAAGCAGATGATAGAGATGAAAGGAATGAAACAAGAGGGAAGTAATAGGAGAGAAAAAAAAACTGGAAGGCAAAGCAACTCTATAACTGGCAATGGTAGAAACAGAAAGGTCATTGTCAAAAAGTCATGTAAAATTTGGATATGTGAGGGATGAAAGGTGAGGAAGGGAGAGGCCAATGGCAAAAAATATGCCACTTACACTGCTACACTGATATAGAAGAGGGGAAAATGGAGTAGGCAAGAAAAGACACAACCTGGGTAGAAAGTCTGGAACCTCTCACAAGGGACCAGACAAAAGTCATGTGTGAAGCCAGAATGTGGAGATGGATGAATGAAACACTACCAAATGAGGTTGTCAGAGTAAGGAAGGGAAAAGAGAATGAGGCAATGGTGGTGACAACTGAAGAAGTAGTGGCAACCAAGATTGAGCTTGCCAGAATAAGCCACTAGAAAGATTAAACACATTAGTGTGGATAATGGAAAGCACCTGGGAAGCAGATAGG